TTTGTTTCACAAATGCTGGCCTCCATTTTTCAGGCCTCGTGGAGAATGGGAGAACTTCCAGAGGACTAGAGTGTGGCGTCATTGGTTCCAATTTTTAAAAAGGGTAGAAGGGACATGGGGAATTACAGACCAGTTAGCCTTACGGCCATTGCAGGGAAAGCAGTGGAAAGGCTCATAGTAGCAAGAGATCTAGTGATGCTAGATAGAGAAGGGAGGCTGGTAGCCACACAGCACAGTTTTCGCAAAAACAGGTCCTGCCAGACAAACCTTGTGGAATTCTACAACAAGGTTTCGAGGTGGCTAGATGGAAGAGATGCAGTGGATGTGCTTTTCCTGGATTTCAGCAAGACCTTTGACAAAGTGCCCCATGATATTTTGGTTGAGAAACTGAGGAGTTTTGGGATACACCAAAGGACTGTCTGATGGATTAGGGCATGGCTAACTGACTGAAAGCAGAGGGTAACCATTAGTGGGGAATCATTGGGATGGTGGCCAGTGAAAAGCGGGGTCCCCCAGGGCTCTATTCTGGGGCCAATCCTGTTTAATCTTTTCATCATTGCCATGGAAGAAGGGGTGAACAGTCTGTGGATCAAATTCGCAGATGATACTAAAACTGGAGCAGTGGCCACAACTGAGGAGCAGGTACCCCAGATCCAAAAGGATCTGGACAGACTATGGAAGTGGGCAGGAGACAACAGGATGGCGTTCAATGTGGATAAGTGCAAGGTCTTGCACTTGGGGCATAGGAATGGGTGTCATACGCACAGGTTAGGGGACAAGTGGCTGGAGAGCAGCACTTGTGAAAGGGACCTCGGGGTGCTGGTTGACTGCAGGCTAAGCATGAGTCAGCAGTGACCAGCGGTGGTCAAGAGGGCGAACACCACCTTTGGTTGCATAGCCGGAAGTGTGGCTTCTAGATCGAGAGAGATATTACTACCTTTCTATATGACCCTGGTGTGCCTGCAACTGGACTATTGTGTTCAGTTTTGGACCCCTCATTACAGGAAGGATATAGCCAGGTTGGAGTCAGTGCAGCGTAGGGCCACAAGGTCGGTGGCCAGCTTGCAGGGGATGCCATATGAGGCGAGACTGGGGGAACTGGGTCTCTTCAGCCTGGAGAAGAGAAGACTCAGAGGGGATATGTTGGCGACATACAGGTATGTGAGGGGATGTCACATGGAGATGGGCAGATACCTGTTCTCCCCTGCAGAGGAAGGCAGGACGCGCTCCAATGGAGCAAAGCTCAGGGAGCCAACATTCTATTTAGATGCCAGAAAGCACTTCCTGACAGTTAGGACACCGAGGGTGTGGAATAGGCTTCCACGAGAGGTCGTTGAGGCCCCATTGGTGCGAGTGTTCAAAGATAGGCTGGACATGCACATGCTAGGCATGTCGTGAGCGGAGCTAGCTGGAATCCGGGTCAGACTAGATGGCCCAAGAGGCCCCTTCTGGCTAGCCCTGTTTCTATGTTTGTATTTCAGCATTTAGTGAATGCAGTGGTATTAAGCATGGCTTCACTTGCCAGACATCTCCTGTGGAAGCCAGACTGGACAGTTCTCTTCTAATATTGTGGTCTTATAACCAGAACCTTACTGACACTATCAACCCCTTTTCTAGACTCCCCCCCCCCAATCCTTAGGAGCTCCACAACTTCTCCATGCTAAATACTAAGGATTTCAGGATGTTTTCAACTCAAAGAAAGCAAACAGCTTTCTCTTGCAGCCTCTTTGACACTTGATTCCAGACACTGCTATTTCCATAGGAATGCTATACCCCTGTCTAAAACATGAATGTATCTGTTCCCCTTCTTGCATTGTCAAGTGAGACAAAAGTTTTATTTGTGTATTTAATAGCCCACTTTTTTCTTACAACTAACTCAAAGTGGCTTACATAATTTTCCTTCTCTTGCTCTCAATCCAATCCCCTCAACAACTTTGTGAAGTAGGTTGGAATGGCCCAAAGTCACCCAGTTGGCTTCATGTCTGAGCAAGGACTAGAGCCCAGATTGCGAGTCCCAGGGAATGACTTCATATTCCTGAACATTCCCCAACAAATGAAGGAAACCTCATCCCAGAACTTCTGGAACATTAGAAGTAGGCTCATATTTTTACTCCATGAGGCTTTTACAATTTCTGAGAAAACAAGGAAATCAGCATTTCGAACCAGTGATAGTGTCTTTGACTATTCATTGGTGCCTTTAGGATTGATTTGGGGAATGAATATGAATGACATATTTTGTGACTTTTCGGTCAAATTCCCTGTTGTTTACCTGAACAGTTTATAAAATTACTCCACTGATCCTAGGCAGCACAAACACTGAAAAGTGGTGTTACAAAGGCTGTGGGAACACCTGTTTGCACAGTTAGAAATATGTGTCTTTGACCACCTAGGACAGCAATGGCAAACCTTTTAGAGACCGAGTGCCCAAAACCCACTTATCACAAAGTACCAACACTGCAATAAAACCTGAATACTGAGGTTTTAGTTTAGAAAAAGCAACTCACAACCAGTCGAAGCAAATATATACCGTATATCTCCTTGGCAGCACACTGACTGGCCATGCGAAAGCTTGGACGAGTCACGGCTGATGAGTTGCGGCTCGTGACATCATTGCCTGGCGCCGCTGCTCCTTTCCGAGCATGCGCATGGCCCTAGGTGCACTGTTACCTGATGCTCTGCTGCTGGGGCGATGCTGGGATGACTTGGCTCGTGTGCCGACAGAGAGGCCATAGGTTCACCACCACTGACCTAGGATATAAAATTTCAGTTCAAGGCACTGAGATTAGACCCATAAGAAGTCCAAGCCCTATTGTTCTATGAGACACCACATACTAAATGTGAGGTACAAAAAATCCCAGAGTTTGCCATTTTTTTCTGTAAATTCCAGCAAAATATAACCAGTTTACAACTCCACTGACTAATCTATTCACTAGCCCATGAAAACACTTTCCAGTTATTAAAGAAGTCACTTACTTTTGATCTCCACTTACACCTGGACCGAAGTAAGTCAGAGTAATTGGATTTTGCTCTTTTTCCTTCTTCATTCCACCATCTCTTACACTTGCTCTTCTCAAAATTGCTGAATGCCAGGTTGGGAAAGGGAAACCTGGATTCATATTCCTGTTCAGGGCATGATGCTTGCTGGATGATTTTGGCCAGTCATTTTCCTTCATCGTGGCCTGCCTTTTTGTACATATAAAATTGTGTGAAGGTGGGGGGTGACCATTAAAGTTTCTCTGAGCTCTTCAGATGAAGGGTGCACAAAAAAGTGATCATAAGCAGAGAAAAAAGAAAAAGAGACTGAGCAAGAGAACGAGAAGGAGGTTGGTCCTAAAAAAGGACACCTGACTGCAGGCTGGAATGATGTTCCAGGTTCAAAAAGGTTCAGATTTGATCTTCTGGTGGAACCTGAGATATTGGTCTGTGTCTGAGCTTTAACATTTTCTAACTGAAAATGGTTCTCAAGGCACAAGAATACTAATGGGAACTGTTCTTTAAAAATTCAAGTAAAGTTTATCTGCAGTGGATTCAGTGACTGATCACCTTGGTTGTAACCCTACTTTTATCTGGGAATAGATTTCATTGAAATCAATGTATAGGTTTTCAGGGGTGTCATTCATAAAAAAGAGGTAAGATACAAATTTAAAAGGAGACAAAAAGAAATATTAAAGAAAAAGTATACAAACTAAGTAAAAAAATAAGAAAAAGTGAACATTTCTATCTCTTCTACCCACAGTTAAATCAATCAATTCTTAATTAAGACATATAAACAAATTGATCTAGTTTATCAGCTGTAAATAACATTATAGCAAGCCACCACAGGTTATTTATCCATCATTCTGAAGTGAAGTTGGTATTTAGCTCAACTCCCGCAGTGCCAAGTTGTGTCTGGATATGACCAGAGGGATTCCAGTAGAGCCAGTGTGCTGTAGTGGTTAAAGTGTTGGACTGCGACTCTAGTCCCCACCTGAACTCAAATTTCACTGGGTGATTTTGGGCCAGTAAGTACAATGTACCTTCTAGAGTTGCCATGAGGTACATGAAGGGATGTCATGCGGAGGTGGGTCGTGAACTTTTTTCCCCCTGAGAAGTTGGGCAGGATACATTCCAGTGGAGCAAAGCTCAGGGAACCATGATTCAAGGTGGATACCAGGAAGTACTTCTTCCTTCAACAGGAGGTGGTTGAGGCCCCATCGGTGAGGGTGTCAAGGATAGGCTGGACATACACCTGGCAGGCATGTCATGAGCGAAGCTGGCTGGAGCCAGGGTCAGACTAGATAGCCTGGGAGGCCCCTTCTGACTCACTCAGTATCTTTGTTTCTATGTAACATGAAGAGGAGGATTGTGCATTCCTGGAAAAGCAGGATATAAATGTAACAGATAAGCAGCAACATGTACAAGATGAATTTTGACAATTTGTTCTAGAGGTTGCTGGCTTCCATTTTTTGTTTTTGTTTTTCTTCCTCTCCCACAAGACTAGAACCTGGGGTCACCCATGAAATTTGGTGGGGGATTTAGGACAAATAAAAGGAAGTATTTCTTCTTACAACATATAGTTAATCTATGAAATTCACTATCACAGGAGGCAATGATGGCCACCAATTTGGATGACTTTAAAGGGGGTTTGGAGAAGGAGGGGGTGCCATGGAGAAGAAGGCTATTAGTGGCTACTGGCCTGGCTTTACCAGAGGTGGCATGCCTACAGGCACCAGTTGCTCCGGAGCATGGGCAAGAGGAGTTCTTGTGCCCATCCTGTGTACAGCTGGTGTGCCACTGTGTGAACAGAGTGCTGGACTGGGTAGGCCTTATGTTCTTACATTTGGGTCATTTTGGATTTTTGACAGTGAAGAAAGGAAAGTTCTGCCTGAACTGTGTGGTCTTTTTTTTCCTCTACCATTTTGAGGAATTTGGGACATGGCATTTACTTAATTTACATTTACATAATGCCATGTTTCCACCCTCGGTGTTTTGCTGATGTTTGTCTTTCCCTCTGCCCTCAGGTGCTACCTTTGATGTTGCCATGCGCTTCCTGTATGAATGCCCTTGGCGTCGGCTGCAGGAGCTCCGAGAACTCATCCCCAACATCCCATTCCAGATGCTGCTGAGAGGGGCCAATGCTGTGGGTTACACCAACTACCCAGATAACGCGGTCTTCAAGTACGTTCCACAATCTGTTTTCTATTGCAGAGACTTTTAAAGCTCATTTGCAGCCAGGGAGAAGTGGGAAGCCACGTGTAGCAATGGACTGTGTTATAACCACTTAAATTCTTTCTCAGCTCCCCCAACTCTGTCCTTCAGTTCTCGGATTTCACCACATTCCCAGCCTTATTTTTTCTTCTTCTGCTATATGGACAGGGCTATCATGGACAGGACAGTTGGAGGGTTGCCGTATGTCGGAAATGACTTGATGGCACATAAGAAGAACATATAAGGCCAAGATGGCCAGATGTTCCAGGATTCCAACTCCCATCAGCCCCAGCCAAAATAGGCTATGATGAGGAGTCATATTTCAGTTGGAAATCTTCACTTCACTTGGAAAAGCTAAGATACTGAATTCTTTGGCAAACGCTGGAACTTTCTGATATCCAAGCATAGACTGCTGCACCATTCCTCTTTGTGTTCTCTGCATCACACAGATGGGCATGTGTGTGTACCTGAATAATGTCTAGAACTGGGAAAGCTTCAATTGCTCAATGTTCAGGTTTAGGTGGAAGCCCCTCCCTTGCCTGTTCCCGGGGAGGACAGGGGAGGGGGTCCCACCCTTGTGTTAGACTGGGAATCTTGTTGTTCTTCTATTGCTATGAGGTACAATGCACTTTTTTTCATGCTTTCCTGTATCTTTCCAACCCCTACCTGTCTTTCACTTTTTTGCAGAAACCCGCCCCCCCCATATAAATGTCTACCCACCTTTCCTGTGCACAGTTCTTGACTTACGCAAGTTGCCCATGCCTTTCTTCTCCCTTCATCTCTTCTTTTTTCTAACTCCAATTCATGGTGGCTTCAGCCTTTCAGGGCTGTACTTCTTGCAATAGCCAGTTGCACCAACAGTCATTCCTTATTTCTCCTCTGCCTCTGCAAGGAACATGTAGTATAGACCTGTGCACACTGCCAGGTTTTTAAAAAGTGAGGCAATTGCCTTAAGGCTGAGCTGTGGAAGAGGCCTCCCAGAGTGATGAACTCTTCGAAAAAAGAGCTAGACCACCCCTCCACTTCCATGGCCCACAGGACACAAAAAGACCACAAAATAGTCAAAGAAAATGGCAGCCTCCACTGCACCATAGAAGGAGAAGCACTGCATGAATCCCCATCCACTGACATCTCCTACCTCCAGGTCCCCAGCCAACTGCCCAGGGATTCCAGAGTTGACTGAAGAGCTTACTGCTGCACCAGCAGGGGAACTGAGAGACTGATCACCCGAGTGCCCAGTCAGGCACTCCTGCACAGGGGTGGTTCACTCAAGAGACATTTTGTCAACATGCGTCTCGCTGCTGCCCACCATCCCGAGGACCAGAACACCAGCCTCAAACACCCGAATGGCTAGGCTTTGAGGCAAGGGGATGCTGGGAGAGATCCTGCTCTCTTGTCATCAACTGTGACCATGGCTCTGATTGGAGACCAGCACAGAGCTACTCTGAGGCTCCAACAACCTGACCAAGGACTTATTGTATTTATTCATACCTACATACATGCATGTATAGGCCACCTATAACTGCCAACCCCTTCATGGATCACTGCCTTGTCGTGGTGAAGGGGCTTGTGTAGCGCAATGAAGCTATAAGCTATGCCATGCAGTGACACCCAAGATGGACAGGTCATAGCAGAGAGCTCTGACAAAACGTGAGCCACTGGAGAAGGAAACGGCAACCCACTCCAGTATCTTTGCCATAAAAACCCCATGGACAGTACCAAAAGGCAAAAAGATATGATGCTGGAAGATGAGCCCCTCAGGTCGGAAGGTGTCCATTATGCTACTGGGGGCTAGTACTAGTAGCGCCGGAAAGAATGAAGCGACTGTGTCAAAGCTGAAAGGACACTCAGTTGCGGATGTATCTGGTGGTGAAAGGAAAGTCTGATCCTGTAAAGATCTATACTCCATAGGAACCTGGAATGTAATATCTATGAATCAAGTTAAGTTGGACGTGGTCAAACAAGAGATGACAAGACTGAACATCAACATATTAGGAATCAGTGAACTAAAATGGACAGGAATTTAATTCAGGTGACCATCATGTATACCACTGCAGGCAAGAATACCTCAGAAGAAATGGAATAGCCTTCCATAAAAGAGTACGAAAAGCAGTACTGGGATACAGTCTCCAAAATGGCAGAATGATCTCAGTTCGAATCCAAGGAAAACCATTCAACATCACAGTAGTCCAAGTCTATGCCCCAATCATTGATGCTGAAGAGGCTGAAGTTGACCAGTTCTATGAAGGCCTACAACACCCAGAAATAAGACCAAAAAATGATGTCCTTACCATCATGGGGTACTGGAACGCTAAAGTAGGAAACCAAAAGATAACTGGAATAACAGGCAAGTTTGCCCTTGGAGTACAAAATGAAGCAGGGTAAAGGCTGGCAGAATTTTGTCAAGAGAACAAACACTAGCAAACACTCATAGCAAACACTCTTTTCCAACAACCCAAGAGATGACTCTACACATGGACATCACCAGACGGTCAACACAGAAATCAGATGGACTATGAGCTCTGCAGCCAAAAATGGAAAACCTCTATACAGTCAGTAAAAACAAGACCAAGAGCTGACTGTGGCTCAGATCATGAGTTTCTGGTTGCAAAATTCAGGCTTAAATTGATGAAAGTAGGGAAAAGCACTAGGCCACTCAGGTATTACCTAAATCATATCCCTGATGAATATGCAGTAGAGGTGACTAATAGATTTAAGGAATTAGATCTGATAGACAGAGTGTCTGAAGAACTATGGACGGAGGTTTGCAACATTGTACAAGAGGTAGCAACTAAAACCATCCCAAAGAAAAAGAAATGCAAGAAAGCAAAATGGCTGTCTGAGGAAGTTTTGCAAATAGCTGAGGAAAGAAAGGAAGCCAAAGGCAAGAGAGAAAGAGAAAGGTACACCCAACTGAATGCAGAATTCCTGAGAATAGCTAGAAGAGATATGAACAGTGCAAAGAAATAGAAGAAAACAACAGAATAGGGAGGACCAAAGTACATCGGTGAGGCCCCCCTCAACGATAGGGCCTGAACGACCTCCTGTGGAAGCCCATTCCACACCCTCCGGGTCCTAACTGTCAGGAAGTGTTTCCTGGCATCTAAATGGAACCTTGGTTCCCTGAGCTTTGCTCCGTTGGAGCATGTCCTGCCTTCCTCTGCAGGGGAGAACAGATCTCTACCGATCTCCAGGTGACATCCCCTCACATACCTGTATGTCGCCAACAGATCCCCTCCAAGTCTCCTCTTCTCCAGGCTGAAGAGACACGGTACCCTCGGTCTCGCCTCCTACTCCATCCCCTGCAAACCAGCCACGAACCTTCTGGTCCTACGCTGCACTGACTCTAACCTGGCTATATCCTTCCTGTAATGAGGGGTCTGAGCACAATACTCCAGTTGCGGGCACACCAGAGTCGAACAGAGTGGTAGTAATACGTCTCTCGATCTAGAAGCCACACTTCTGGCTATGCAACAAAGGGCAGCGTTTGCCCTCTTGACCACCGCATCACACTGCTGACTCATGTTTAGCCTGCAGTCAACCAGCACCCTGAGGTCCCTTTCACAAGCGCTGCTCTCCAGCTACATGTCCCCTAACCTGTACTTATGACACATATTCCTATGCCCCAAGTGCAAGACCTTGCACTTATCCATCCTGTTGTCTCCTGCCCACTTCCATAGTCTGTCCAGGTCCTTTTGGATCTGGAGTACCTGCTCCTCAGTTGTGGCCACTGCTCCAATTTTAGTATCGTCTGCGAATTTGATCAGCAGACTGTTCACCCCTTCTTCCATGTCATTGAGGAAAAGATTAAGCAGGATCAGCCTCAGGACAGAGCCCTGGGGGACCCCGCTTGTCACTGGCCGCCATCCTGATTATTCACCACTAATGGTTACCCTCTGCTTTCGGTCAGTCAACCATGCCCTAATCCACCCGACAGTGCTTTGGTGTATCCCAAAACTCCTCAGTTTCTCCACCAGGGTGGGGCACTTTGTCAAAGGTCTTGCTGAAATCCAGGTGCACCACATCCACTGCATCCCCTCCCTCTAGCCATCTCGAAACTTTGTAATAGAATCCCACAAGGTTTTTCTGGCAGGATCTGTTTTTGCGAAAGCCCTGTTGTGTGGCTGTCAGCCTCCCTACTCTATCTAGCATCATTAGATCTCTCGCTATTATGAGCCTTTCCATAGTTTTCCTACAATGGATGTAAGGCTAAAAGGTCTGTAATTCCCCATGTCCCTTCTACTACCCTTTTTGAAAATGGGGACCACTGAGGCCAACCTCCAGTCCTCTGGAACTTCACCCGTTCTCCACAACGCCTCAAAAATGGAGGCCAGAGGGCGTGAGAGAACCCCTGCCAACTCTCTAAGAACTCTCGGGTGTAACCTGTCAGGGCCTGGTGCCTTTGCAATGTTCAATGCCCTGAGGAGCCCCTCAACTTCCAGGGGAGGTAACTCTAACCTGTGCCCCTAAGACCCCAGCCTCATGTAATCTCCTATGCGGATCTCCTCCGCCCTGCTTTGGGGAGAACACAGAGGCAAAATAGTCATTTAGCATCTGTGCCTGTTCCCTCATATCAGTCACTGGATCCTCTTCCTCCTTATTTAGTGGTCCCACCACTTGTCTCCCCTTCCTCTTCCTATTTACATGCTGAAAGAAGCCCTTTTGGTCGCTCTTGATATTCTTGGCAAGTCTCAGCTCGCAATCAGCCTTAGCCTTATAGAGAATCCTTCTGCAATGGGCCTCCTCCTCCCGGTATACCCTTTTGTCTATTTCCGCCAGCACCCATTTCCTACGGAGGTTCCTCTTTCATCTAATCCCTCTAACCACCATCTCTTGCATCCATGGCGGCACTCTCCTCTGCCTCCCCACCTTACTAACTAGAGGTATCGTCAAGGCTCGCGTCTCCAAAACCTCCCTTTTGAGTTCCATCCACCCCTCCTCAACTCGCTTACCTTTCAGTAATCTATCCCAGGAGACTTTCCCCAGTCTGGCCTTCAGTTGGCCAAACCTTGCTCTCTTGAAGGCCCAGCTTCTAGTGCTCGACCTGCTGCACGTCCCCAGTCCCCTGATCTCAAAGCAAAGGATGGAGTGATCACTCACATCCAGAGCTCCCCTAATCTGTACTTCATCTATCAGCTCTTCCCTGTTGATCAAGACCAAGTCAAGGATGTTCCTGCCCCCACCCCCCCGTCATCACCTCTCGGACCCTCTGTGTGAAAAACCCTCCCTCTATAGCTTCTAGGAAGAGATGTGACTTGGCTGTCACTTTTGAGTGAGTCTCCCAACTAATATCCGGGAGATTGAACTCTCCCATAATTCATTCATTCATTCATTCATTCATTCATTCATTCATTCATTTAAAACATTTCTATGCCACCCCCATCGCAACAAAGCCTCGGGGCGGCTCACAAAGGGTTATTGTGTCCTTATTGTGTTCCTCTCCTGAGATATCCTTAGAATCTGATCTGACAGGACATCATCCAGGGTCTCAAGTTGACCTGGAGGGCGATAACATACCCCCACTGTCAGGTCTCTTTCCCTGTGAAAACCCCTAAGTTTCACCCAGACTGCCTCTACCAAATCCCCATCTGTGCTGCAATCTATCTCACTGCATCCTATCCCTTCCCTGATGTATAAAGCCACGCCCCCACCTCTCTTTCCCTTCCTGTCCTTTCTAAAAAGGTGATACCCCTCTATGTTTACATTCCAGTCTTGCCTTCCATCCCACCAAGTTTCTGTGTTTCCCATCAGGTCATACCCTCCTATTCCCTGAAGAGCTTCAAGCTCTTCCTGCTGATTACCCATGCTCCTCGCATTAGTTTAGATGAACTCAACTGCTTCCCACCGCTTCCTTTCCTTGGAATCCCCAGCCTCCTGCTTCCTCCCATCTTCCCTGATACCTGGCCCGTCTCTGTAGGAGTCCTCTCAGTCCCTGCAGTACCTCTAAAACCCTGCTGCCAGAGCCCTGATCCTATCCCCACACTTGACCAGTGCAGATATGTTTCTGGGGGGCCTGAATTCCCCCCCCCCTCGACTCAGTTTAAAGTCTTCTGGACAAAGCTCTCTGGAGCATTTCCAAAAGACCTTTTCCCCATCCTCGTGAGGTGTAAGCCGTCCCTTGCCAGAAGTCCATTGGCAAGAAACCAGGTGCTAAGGTCGAGGAAGCTGAAGCGTTCCTTCTGGCACCACACCCTAAGCCAGTCATTCACCTCGGAGAACCTCCTGTCCCTGTCTGGCCCAAATCCCCGGACTGGCAAGATCGTCTTGGGCCTTTAGCTCTGAGTTTCTTCCCCAAGGCCTCGAAGTCCCTGGTAATCCTGACCACGCCCTGCCTGGCCATGTCGTTTGTGCCCACATGGATCACCAGGAGCGGCTGATGACCCCCGGAGCGAACAAGACACTCCACTCTGTCCTTCACATGCTGGATGCGTGTGCCCAGCAGGCAGCAAACCTCCCTGGTCTCCAGGTTGGGGCAGCACACCGCCGCCTCAGTGCCCCTCTGCAGGGAGTCCCCAACAAAAATCACCCGCCGCCGGTCTTCCTGGTGGTGGTAGGCGTCCATGTCCTGGCCCTTGCCTCTCCTGCAGCAGTCCCCTTGCCGCTTGTGGTCCTAGGCTGGGGGTCCAGCAGGTCCCCCGAGGCCTCATCAGCCCCAGCCTCCCCAAGCAGAGAGAACCTGTTTCCAGCTCCAGATCGGCGCCAGGGAAGGAGGAGGCCGTGCTGGCCTCTCCCTCCTGTGGGTGACACGCCTCCATGTCTCCCCGGCTGCTCCTCCCGTGGCCTCTCCCTCGACCCTCTGTCCAGAGGGGGCTGCTCCAGGGGGGCCTGGAGAGCTCTCTCGGCCCTCAGGCCCCTCACCTCCTCCTCTAGCAGGGTCACCATCTTGCACCGAGGGCAAGTTTAGCCCTGCCTCTCCTGGGGGAGAAGGACAAACATGTCGCAGCTCTCGCAGCAGAGAGCAACACCCGTGACTCCCGCCAAGGCCATCTCCTGGCCTGCCATCGGGAACTCTTCCAAAACCTGACCTTGGTCCCCTGCCTTGTCTGTCCTGCAGTTCTCCTCACTCGCCCAGTTCTCCCAGACAAACTCCCCCACACACACACAATTTAAATTGGAGGAAAAACAAAGCACAGCACTGCACTGCACCAAAAACAAAAAACAAAATGAAAAAAAACAAAACCAATACAAAGAAAGCAAAACAAAGCAATAAAACAAAAAACAAAACCCTTGGCTTCCCAGGGGAGGGAGTCCCCGGGCATCCTGGACCTGAGCAAAGGGACGCAGACAAGGGACAACACCTTATCAGTCCCTCAGGCCGGTGGCCCCGCCCCTCTGCTCCCTCCTGACCCCTCTGGCCCCGCCTCCCTTCCTCTCTGCTGCTCATGTCCCCCTGCCCAGCTCCTCCCTTGCCTTCGCCAGGCCCCTGGCGACCCTCAGCGCTCTCTCCCGGCCTCTGCCTCTGCTGCTCTGCCAGGAGGCAAGAGCCAAAAAAAGGCTTCATTGAGCTACACAAGCCCCTTCTCCACGACAAGGCAGTGATCCATGAAGGGGGTTTGGTAGAACAGCAGCATTTAAAATGAAGATATTACCCAAGATTAATTTCTTACTTATGATGTTACCGATTAAGTTAACAGAGAAAGATTTGAAAGTATTGCAAAATATGATTATTAAGTTCAGTAATATGGATAAAAAGCAAGAATTAATTGAAAAAAGATGGTATATGCCCCTGAGAACAAGGGGTTTAGGCATCCCCAATGTGAAATTTTGTTATATAGCTAATCAATTGAGGCATATGCCAGACATTATACTGCACCCAGAAAAGATAATATGGGGTAAATTAGAATATTTAGAATATGTAGAGGGATCTTTATTAAATATTTTTCTTCAACAAGGTAATAAGAATGTTATTTTTAAAGATAGGAAACTCTTTTTTAAGAATATGGTTAAGATTTGGAATTAATACAGGGATATGCTTAGCCCATCGATTTCACCGTTATACCCAATTACAGAATTAGAAAGATTCCCAGTTAATCTGAGGAGTAATTTGAAGGAAGTACTGAAGAGTAAACATGTTATTAGGTTGAAAGATTGGTTGTAGAAAATGAATAGTAAAGAAATGATACAAACGATACTGGGACAGGGTAAAATAATGTTTATATATAATATACTTTATTATATATATAGTATAATATAATATAATGAAGTATAATATACTTCAGATAGATTACTTTGGTTGAAGAAAAATGGTAAATGCTTATAATATACTAAATTTGAAGATATAATTTTACACAAAGAAAAACAGGACAATATGTGGCTGAGAGGAATGATAAGTAAAATTTACAATATATTACTAGAAGAGGAGGATTGCTATGATCCTCTTAAAGAGTCTTGGGAAATGGGTTTAAAAAGAAGTATTAGTGCTAAAGAATGGAATATTATGTGGGATAAGAGATTTTAAAATTTATGTCAATAGGAATTGAAGATAATTTTTATAAACTGGTTTGGAAATGGTACTCATTGAATTACATTGTAAAATTTACGTTGTAAACTGTCTAGAGACGCAAGTAATTGGACAGCATACAAATTTTATAAATAAATAAATTTAATTACATGAATAATGACTATTCCAACGTGTGCTGGAGATGCAACCAGGAAGTGGGCACATATTTCTCTATGTGGTGGAAGTGTAACTATATAAATGAGTTTTGGGAAAGGATCTTTAAAGAAATTGGTAAAATATTGAATTTAAATACTGAAGTTGATCCTAGATTAGCATTATTGTCATTATTTGGAGAACAGATGGGACAAAATACTAAAGAATTGATGATAAATTTATTAACAGCAGTCAGATTAAGAATAGCAAGGAAACAGAAGGTGACTATCATATGGTTGACTAGTATAAAGAAGTCTGGAATAATATATTATAGTCTGAATATATTATTCCAAACTATACTATTAATGATAAGTTAACTTGTGATATTAAATGGAAAAGGTTGTATGAGGGGAAACAAATTTGAAAATATTTGGAGAGTTTTTATTGAATACATTTTAATAAAAGGAAAGGGGTGTGAACCACCACAAGAGAGTCAATGCAGTTCTGGAAGGGAAGTGGGGCAACCTGAATGAATACATGATCTTACACTAAGTTACTAGAGTCCTGGTGGAGGTAGCACTGATACTAAGGTATTGTTTAATTGTGTTAATCAGTAATTATTGTTATTATATCATTTTTAAAAAATGAAAATGATAAAAATAAAAAATCAATCTACCAACATTGCTAATCCTGAAAAGGAACAAGTTTCCTTCTATTTTGCAGAGCTTTCGTTGTTTGGTCACCTGATTCACTGGCCAAGTCTGTTAAAACTCTTGGAGAGGCAGAGAGGATAGCTGCAGTTTAGTGCCTTTCTTGGTCTACAAGCTTGACATTGGAGGGTTGTCCTTCCTTCATCTTTTTCAACCCTTTCACCCCTGTAATCCTGCACTTCTTCAGGTTCTGCCAAGTGGCCAAGGAGAATGGCATGGATATCTTCCGAGTCTTTGATTCACTCAACTACCTTCCCAACATGTTGTTGGGGATGGAGGCAGCTGGACAGGCTGGAGGAGTGGTGGAAGCAGCCATTTCTTATACAGGGGATGTTGCTGATCCTAACCGGACAAAATACACCCTCGATTATTACATCAACCTGGCTGAGGAGCTGGTCAAGGCTGGGACCCATATCTTGGCCATCAAGGTAAAAGGAGGCTAAGATCTGGATTGGGAAGCTCAGCCACATTCCAGGGGAGTGTATCTAGTTTGTATCACTTTTTCCCTAAGCAAGCCTTGTGTCGCTAAACAGGAATTGCAGTTGCAAGGGCATTGCAATTCCTCATCACACACATCTACTGGTAATCAGGGAGCAGGCAAGCGAGATATAAAGAAAAAAGGTGAGGTAGAGGCTTGAATCTCTTGGTACAACTACAGGAAGAAATCAAAAAGACAAAAGGAGGAAGTAAGAGGAGATGGGGAAGAGAAGGGCAACAGGATCAAGGAACAGGCACCTCCTGGTCTCAGTCAGCTTCCAGAGAGTGGGCAGCTGACTAGCAGACAGGAGTACCAGGATCCAGTCAGCCAGGACGGGACACAAGGGTCAGTCAAACAGTCCAAAGGTCAGAGCCAGGAGCTGAAGCACAAAACAGAGTCCATTCACAAAGAAAGCACAGTCAGACAAGCCTCAGGGAACTGAGAAGACAAGCTGTGGGAAACAGGTACCTTGAGGGTTGGAGCAGAAGAAGGCGTGAGCAAGGGCCAGGAAAACGGGCAGAATCTAGGAGCCGGCACACGATCATGAGCAAGCAGCAGAAGCGGCTCGAGACTTTTGTTACCAAGGCAAGTTCTGTGGGGAACAGCCAGTTCTTATATAACTCTTCCTGCAGGGCTCCCTGGTAGAGCTCATAAGAGCCCTGGCCACTGCAGTAGCTTGGGGGACTAATTCTGCAACTAACAGAGCTGTTGTGCAGGTCCTTAGCCAGCAGAGGGAGCCCTGAAGCTGCCTTTTGTCCGGTCAGTCTAGAAGGGTACAGACCTTATACAGTGGTACCTTGGTTAACAAACTTAATTCGTTCCATGATTCTGGTTGCGACCCAAATTGGTCACACACCAAGTCAAATTTCCCCATAAAGTTCAATGTAAATAAGGTTAATCCATTCTGAACCATAACTTTATGTTATACATAAAGGACGGCATATAAAAGTTTTAAATAAATACATACATACCTAATTTTTTAAACCACAAAAATATGAGCTGTAGCCATCTCGCCAAGCCTGGGGGGCAGATGGGCCAAGGCAGAGCTGGAGCAGGGCCGCAGCTCCCACGCCTCCACCGCGGTCTTCTCAGGGCAAGCTGCCACCACCAAGTGGCTGCCATGCTTCTTCCCCCTGCAGCAGGGAAAGGCGGGAGGTGCCCTGCTTGGCCAGCCGTAGCCCTGTCCCTCACCTTCCCTTGCCTCTGCCCACAGAAAGCAGCCCTTACCTCCTTCCTCACAACCCTCTCCTGGCCGGGGAAACCACCCCACACCTACTCCGATCTCCCACTCCTGCTCCCCCTCCCGGAGCCAGGTGGCAGCAAGTTGCTGGGAAGGCCTCAACTGAGGTGAGCACACCCTCATGGCTCCCCTTCATGTGGAGAGAAGGTTATTGTTTGGAGTGTTCATGCAGGGAAGATGGCCGCAATTGCGATCATGTTCATGCAGGAACATGGCTGCGATCATGATCATCACCCAATGCGGAGTTTGTGAATGGAGGCAAAACTTTTCCAAAATTTTTGTTCATGAACTGATTGGTCATGAACTGAAGTGTTTGTGAACCAAGGTAACACTGTATAACTGAGGGTCCAGCTCCCATTGACTCAGTTTCATTCCTGATGCAGTCATTTCTCCACACCCCTTTCACTCCTCTTCTCTTGCCTCCCTTAACCAACTCATCCCTCCCTTCCCACATTCCCCCAGCAGTTGTAATCTAGGGTTGTAAAGAATTTAATTTCTGCTCACAAATCATGGGACTATCCCATTTGCAATCCTGAACAAAAACACGGAGACACTTTATTTTGGAAGAAATGTTCACAAACTTCCAAAATTGCTGTTGAAAAACACATTTGAAACGTGCATTGCAAAAAGTACAAATTATGATCCATTAGGCAGTGGGAGGAAGTGTGAATTTCCAAAAAGTATACTCAGAAACTTGAACTTTTCCCATTCAAATTTGCCTAAAAGACGGTTTGACTGCAAAAGAGTTGACTTGAACTCGGAAGAGATTTAGGTAGCCTCAGATGCCACTGATTTTCCTACTTTTACTGCATGCCTAACCACACCCTCGTCCTTCCCCTCGGTCTCTTGCAGGACATGGCTGGCGTTCTGAAGCCACAGGCCTCCGCTTTGTTGGTAGGAGAGCTGCGCAAACACTTCCCCGATGTCCCCTTGCATATCCACACCCACGACACCTCTGGGGCTGGGGTGGCCTCCATGCTGACCTGCGCTGCAGCAGGCGCCGACATCGTGGACGTCGCAGTGGATGCCATGTCTGGAATGACCTCCCAGCCAAGCATGGGTGCCATGGTGGCGTGCACCCGTGGAACCAAGCATGACACAGGTGCGTAACCACATTCAACTCTCAGAAGGAATAAGTCCCATAAACTAGGAAAAAGAGACAAGCCTGCACTCTTATCCAATAAAGTGGGAACAAAGTGAAGTGAGGGGAGGTGAGAACCTTCAGCTCTAGAAAGAAAAAGAGAAAGTGCAGCGTAATGGCCAAAGGTGAACTGGTAGAGGCCCCCATTTATAAAGAAGACTGTTCTATGTCAGGCTGCTAGAAAAAAAAATTTTTTCCCTAACCCTGTACAAAAGCCCTCAGCAAGTTAATACAACAGCAACCTTGCACCTTAGTTTTAGCTAACTTTCAGGGCAGGGGCATTCTCTTGCCATCTGCAGGAAAGCCAGTGTGGCGTAGTGCTTAAGGGTTCGGGCATTCCAGGTTCTGGTCCCTGCTCAGCCATAGAGCTGAGTGGGTGGCTTTGGGGCATTCACAGACACTCAGCCCAACCTACCTCACAGGGTCGTTTGTGTGGGGGTAAGACTGAGAGCAGGAGGGGAATGCTGTAAGCCACCTTGAATTCATAAGTGTACATCTAATAAACAAACAAATAAATACAATTCTTCTGCCTATCTAGACAGGCCAGAGTTTTAGGCAAGTCAAGGTCAGCCTTTTCAACTCTCCTTGCAACTACAACATGGAGGATCTCTCTTACAGCAAGATAATTTTTAAGTTTAAACCATAGAGTTAGAGAAACACATTCTGAAACAGTCTCTATCCTATCCTGAAAAACTTATTTTAAAAGATGTAGTTATTTGAAACACTTTTATATTCTGCCTTTTAATCTAAGAGACCTAACTGCCTAACAACAACTATTAAAGTCTAACTTAATATAAAAACAATAATTTAAAAGGAAAAGCATAACTAGAAAAAAGACTAGCAAGTACATAGTGCAATATGAAACCTGGTGCAATAATCATTTTCTCCCTTTGTGTAAAGTTGAAATGATCCTCGTAGGTGGTGCCACAAAGAAATATCTGAACGAAGCACAGAAACCAGTGGATTCATGGCCTCAGAAGAGAGAATAATGTGATAGATGACCAGAGACCATTGAGATATCAGTAGACCAAGATAACCAGCACCTTGAATTGGGCCTAGAAGTTTACTGGAGAGGCATGAGACAGGAATACTGCATTCCACAAAGCAACCGACAGAGAGCATATGGCTGCTGTATCGTGTACCAGCCTAGGTTTTGACTACTTTCACAAAGAGCCCTAGTTATCCACTCTGACCAGATGTGGATCACACAAAGGTGTGCAAAAGCATTCCTCAATACAGGAAGCTCCAGAGACTCCAGGAAAATCTTTTAAACTGCACACCTATTCCTTCCAAAAACTCCAGGAACCTAATTTTGGATTCGCTTTTCTAGCTAGTCTGGACATTTTGGTAGTAACGGAAAAGGAACACATTTGGAATCATTTATTTGAATTTACCTTTCCATGTATGTGTGTGTGTATGTATGTATGTATGTATGTATTATTTCATTATTATACCACCCAGGAAAGAAGTACACTGGCCTTTTTGCCTTGCCTTGCCTTGCCTAAGCCTACAGAAAATATTTAGATCAAAAAGCATGAGAAAGTAAAGGTCTTTATAAAAACTTATTTTATTTCTTTAAAAAAGGATCAAAATGGTAAGAGCACAGATGAATACAACAGTGGTAAAAATAAACAAAGCCTGGTGCAGCAGAAACCATCAGTACCAGCTGCTGCCACCAAGACTCTCCACAGCGCCAAGCACTTCCAAACCCACTTCATAGAATCTTAGAATCACAGTAGAGCTGGAAGGGTCCATGGAGGGTCCAACCCCCTGCTATTGCAGGATGGCAAATCACACCATCCCACTCAGATGGCTGTCCAGATTCTTTTTGAATGTCTTTAGTGTGGGAGAGCCCACCACCTCTCCAGGCAGCTAGTTCCACTGTTGCATTGCTCTGACAGAGAGGAAGCTTTTCCTGTTATCCAGACTGAATCTGGGTTGTCGCAGCTTGACTTGATTATTCCGTGTCCTACACTTTGGCATCAGCAAGAAGAGATCTTGACCTTCCTCTTCATGACAGCCTTTGAGGTACTTATAGAGGGATACCATATCCCCCCCTCAGTCTTCTCTTCTCAAGGCTGAACATGCCCAGTCTCTCCTCACAGGGCAGTGTTTACAAACCCTGGATCATTTTTGTTGCCCTCCTCTACACCCTTTCTCTTTTTCTGCATCTTTTTCTGCATCTATCTTATATCTTTGTGCCCAGAACTGGACACAGTATTCTAGATGAGGTCTAAATAGTGAGGAGTATAGGAAATAATACTCATGATTTAGAAGTAATACTTCTGTTAATGCACCCCAAAATGGCATTTGCCCTTTTGGTGGCTGCATCATATTGTTGGCTCATATTTAGTCTGTGGTCCACAATTACTCTGAGTTCTTTTTCTTTTTTAGTTCTGTTGAGCCACGTATCCTCATCTTGTATACATGCATTTGTTTTGTTTGTTTTGTTTTGTTTTGTTTTGTTTTCCTAGGTGGAGGACTTGGCACTTGTCCTTACTGAATCTCATTCTGTTGCTTTCATCCCAGTGTTCAAGTTTATCAAGATCGCCCTGGATCTCCATTCTGTCTTTTAGGGTATTTGCTATTCCATCTGAAAATTTCATTATCATTCCTTGAACTTCTTCATCGAAATCATTAATAAAGATGCTGAAGAGCACTGGGCCCAAGACTGAACTCTACAGCACCCCACCTTCCTCCAGTTTGAGAAGGTGCCGTTGATGAGCACTCTTTTTGTCCAATTTAGCAGCCACTCTTGGATCCACCTAACAGATTTTTTATTTAGTCCAGTTTTTGCTAATTTACTTATCAGACTGTCATGGGACATTTGCTAAAGTCTAGGTAGATTATGTCCACAGTGTTCCCTCTGTTCATTTGGAAGGTTGCCCAGTCAAAAAATGAGATTAACTTAGTCTGACAGGATTTATTTTTGATAAATCCATGTTGTCTTCCATTGATCACCTCATTTTCTTCAAGAAGCTTGCAGATGGATTTTTAAAATAATTTGCTCAATAATTTTTCCAGAGATTAATGTCTGACTAACTGGTCTGTAGTTCCCAGGTTCCTCTTTCCCCCCGTTTTTGAAGATAATGTTAACCCTTCTCCAGTTGTCTGGCACTTCTGTTTTTCAAGATTTCCAAGGCTAGACAGTGGGAGGGGGGCATATTCTGAAGGGGGTCAAGCAAATTACACCCTACCCGTGCTCTGTTTGGCATCATGGCTAGATGGCTTCAGCAACCTTCCTCTGATGAGATTGCCAGCCGTGCTGACAGCCTGCTTATGGCTCACAAGGTAAGGGCTGCCAGCAATCCCTACGGAGTACCAAGGAGAGAGGAGAGAGAAGCACAATGCTTCTTACAAAGCAGCCAGTCATTACCATATTCACCAGTCTGATGTATAAGTGGGTGAACTCACCCTCCTCACCCAAGGGGGACATGAGGAATTCCAGGCCAGTTAGCCTTATTCTGGGGAAGACAATGGAAAGGCTCATAATAGTAAACACTCTGGAATTCCTAGGTAGCAAAGGGAGGTTGGCGGCCACGCAGCACAGCTTCTACAAAAACGGGTCCTGCCAGACAAACCTTGTAGAATTCTATGACACACTTTTGAGGTGGCTGGATGGAGGGGATGCAGTGGATGTGGTTTGCCTGGATTTCAGCAAGGCCTTTGACAAAGTAGCACATGGTATTCATTCCAATGGATTGACAGACTGAAAGCAGAGAGTGACTATCAGTCCTGGGACTGATCCTGCTCAATCTTTTCCTCAATGACTTGGAAGAAGGAGTGACAAGCCTGCTGATCAGATTTGGAGATGATACTAAATTGGTGGCGGTGGCTACAACTGAGGAGCAGGTACTCCAGATCCAAAAGGATCTGGATGGACTATGGAAGTGGGCAGGAGACAACAGGATGGCGTTCAATGTGGATAAGTGCTCGGTCTTGCACTTGGGGCATCGGAATGGGTGTCATAAGTACAGGTTAGGGGACAAATGGCTGGAGAGCAGCACTTGTGGAAAGGATCTTGGGCTGCTGATCAACTACAGGCTAAACATGAGGCAGCAGTGTGACGTGGTGGTCAAGAGGGCAAATGCCACCCTAGGATGCATAGCCAGAAGCATGGCTTCTAGATCGAGAGAGGTATTACTGCCACAGTATATGACTCCGGTGTGCCTGCAGCTGCAGTATTGTGTTCAATTCTGGGCCCCTCATTACAGCATATAGCAAGGTTGGAAGGGTTGGAGATAGCAAGGTTCAGCAAAGGGTCACAAGGATGGTGGCTGGTTTGCAGGGTAAGCCAAATGAGGAGAGACAGAGGGAGCTGGGTCTTTTCAGCCTTGAGAGGAGGACACTCAGAGGGCACCTGTTAATTTTAAATTATAAATGTTTAAATTATAAACTTTTAAACATGAATATGTTTAAATCATAAGCATGTTTAAATTATAAACCTAAAGCCATGAATATTGCTGTTCAGGGTGCCAAGCATAAGCTGCATATCTCTGGAGAGGCAAGGGCATCCAGCCCCTTTCAAGGCTGGAAAAATCCCATTAGTCATAACTATGGCTCCACATTTTATTTATTTATTAAAGCTTTTGTATCCCATCCTTTATATCTTACATAAATATTTTTCTCCAATATTTTACTGATAGATAGATTCCTGACAGATCGGAATAAAAATTTAAAGTGTACCCTAATTTCTGCAGGAGAGTGCAGTTTAATTACAAAGGTGCTGCTGCTTAAGAGGGCATGCCAAAAATCTTACTGGGACATCCACCATTTTCCTAGCAAGTAGTTCAGCTCATCATGTTGGGTGAACTCACCCATTACTTTCAACTGCCTTCTTAAATGAGTAAATTCTGCCTTTGGCAAGAATTTTTTTTTCAGATTGCATTTCATGTTCTGCAACTGTTTATAGAGCTTTGCAGATAGTGAAATTGTGACCTAGACCAGTGGTTCCCAACCAGTTTTTGACCGTGTACCCCTTAGGAGCCCTTTTTGATAAATTGCATCCTTCACTGTAACTCACCCAGGGAGCCATGTGGCTAATGGGGTGGGTTAGATATCCAATAAATAAAATTTAAAAATACCGTATTTTTCCATCTATAAGACTCCCCCATGTATAGGATAACCCCACTTTTCCGATCCATCTCCAGCAAACAAGCCGCTGCTGCGTGCATGCGCCGCTTCGCCAGCCCCCGTGCGCAGGCCAGTTCCCCCCCCCCCCCGCCCCAGCGCCACCCCCATGTATAAGAGGCACCTTCATTTTTAAGTAAATGTTTTAAAGAAAAAGTAGCATCTTATACACAGAAAAATACGGTAATATTAACAAAATGTTTGTGATTTATATAGTTGCTGTTATTTCAATTTATATGTTGGAACTGTAAATAATAACTCAATAATGGAATTAAAAGGCAGTGGAATGGCAAAACAGACAGCACATATATATTTACACTCAAAAAATGCACCAATCGAAACATTAATTCAAAATGTAAGATGAAGACAAAGAAGAGACATAAAGAAGACCTGGAAAAACTCACTCATTGAAAAATAGATGGGAAAGAAGCCCAGGTTTTTCCAGATCAACCTGCACGACTTCTCAGAAAAGAAAAGGCAAATTCTACAAAAAAAAGGGGGGGGGGGATATCGTTGAATAGTCTCATTTGCTACAGAAGTTCCATTGTTTAAGGGGAAGAAGAAAAATCACAACAATACAGCAAGACAATTTGCAGAAGAATTAATAACTAGACTGTAGTCCAAGGTTTATGAACTGGACACAAAACATGCAAAAAATTTAATAACTGGTATACTAGCCGATTGTTTTCAGATGGAAAAAAGACCATGTCCATTATCACCACTTTTATTTATCCTCATTCTGGAATTTTTAGTTAGAAAAATAAGATGACCCAAAGGCCTGAAATATATGAAATATATATCTGAAATAGATGGAGATTAATATAAAATAAAAAGTTGTCCTGATTTAACGTTGACAATCTTAAATCCACCTTTATCCATCCAGTATATAATAGCTCAGATTGAAATATTCCAGACTTTTTTTGGCTGCAAAATTAGTAAGAAAGAAAGAAACATTATATTAAAATGATTACAATGAAACCAGAAGATCCTTAGTGAGGGACACCCCCCCCCATTTGCCAAAATAACAAGGAGGGAACAGGGCTTTTCTCAAGGTGAAATAGAAAACCCACTCCACCACTCATCATAAGATCCAATTAATTTCACAACTTTTGACTTGTATCTTGATAAAGGCACTTTTCCCCACCATTATTCATTTTTTTTCATGTACCCCTAAATGCCCTGGTTCATATCCCTGGGGGTGCAGTGTACCCCAGGTTGGGAATCACTGACCTAAGCTATGAGTGATTTTGACTTCTTAGTAAGCAATGCTTGTGGCATTTTAAAAAGTTTCTTCTGTGAAGTATAAGTAATAATTAAAATCTTATAAACATTAATGAACCATTGAAATAAAATCTCATGGACCATTCTTCCAGCAGTAATCAAACTGTTCACTGCTTTTTGCCACATGGGGGCAACATAGAAACGGAGCGAGTCAGAAAGGACCCCCGGTTCCGGCTGGTTTAGCTCATGACATGCCCACCATGTGCATGTAGCCTATTCTTGAACACCCTCAGTGATAGGGCTTCAACCACTGCCCGTGGAAGCCCATACCATACACTAGGGGTCCTAACCATTAGGAAGTACTGTCAGGGAAGTGTACTCCA